TTTGTGTTTGTTTACAAATTTCTTAAAATTAAGAAAATGGCCGTTTTTAAGAAAATTAAAAAATTTGAAATTAAATTTGACAATCAAATGTATATAGTTTCTATCTGAAATACGCCAGAATTGTTTAATTAATAGAAATCGTAAGTTTAATTATTAAACTTTCAATTAAAGCTAAAATGAAATCTTCAAGAATGTTTTTTCGTTGTAAAAAATTCATTTTTTTTTAAACTTCAATATAGAAAATTTATGCCGAAATAGTGGAAGTACTTAGTTTCAATTAATTTCAGATTACCCATTGGCCCATTCAGTTAGTGAAAAAAATAAAATCATTCATTATATTACGTTTAAATAAAAGCGTAGAATTAAAAAAAAATTAAAACTATTGATTATAAAGAAAACTTAGCTTTAAACAAATTAAAAATCCTTGATTATTGCACTGTTGGTCTTCTGTACTTCTGTAGGTTTTACTTTTATTTTTACTTTTTCAATTGTTTTTTTGGATAGGGGTAGGATGGCAGTCTTCCTACTTTGTACTTTGACCGCACAGGCTAGTTTTGTGTAAAATATTATTTTCATTCCGTCTTGAAAATATTATTTTTTTTTTTTTTTTTTTTAAGAAAATCAAGTTAACTGATCCTTAAATTTAGACTTCCAAACATCTCTAGGACAAATATTGGATTCTAAAGAGAATTTTAAAGAAATTGTTTACATTTCACGACGGCGCGTGGAGTCGACGAGTGGCAAAAAGTACAAATGATTTAAAAATGTGTTTAAAAAGTTTATATACGGAAATTAGTTTTTCTTCTAAAATCAGCTTAGCTTTTTCAATCTTTCGAATTGAACCGAAATTTAAGTTCAAATGTGTTTTTCTGTATTTTAGAAAATCCGTGGCAGACACACTAACTTTTAAGTTCAACGAGAGAGAGAGAGAGAGTGAGAGGTTTAACTAGCTAGAATAACAAGATACAAAAATTGTTACAAATGAAATTTAATTTTTTACTCGCCACTGCGAGTAAAAATTAGGTCTGATGAACTTTATGATGCTTATTCCTACACTCAATGTTCAAGTCAATGTATTGTTTATTTTTTTTTTTTTTTAAGTAGACAGCCATCTTACTCGTGTGGTCAATAAGACAGTTGAGTGAAATCTGATATTCGAGTAGAAAAAAAAAATGGTGACCTACCTATTTTCAGATTTTAATGCGGTTTTTACTTAAACAGAAAATAAAAGAGAAACAAAAAAAATGAAACAAAAAGTTAAATTTTTTGAAACGTTAACACAGAGAAAGATTTTTTAAAAATTCTATTTTAAAAAAAATAAACCAACATCAGGAGGAAATTTAAGGTTATGCCTTAGCGGAGCAGATTGCTCGCAAGATTTTACTTAATTCTCGGAATGTAAAAAAAAAAAAAAAGGCATTGGTTTCAACCATATGGAAAAAAAAAAAAAAAGGCTTTCTTTTTTTAAAAAAAAAAAAAGGGCGTATCTTTAACAAAAATTTATGGCTATTGAACGTTAGCTTTCGATCGAAATCTAGGTTCGAATCTCTCCATGATCGATTTGTAGGATCATTTTTTTTATTACTAGCGTTAACGTAAACTAAAAATCAATAAGCGATAAATTAGGAAAATAAAATAATAAAATGAAAACCGCAAAGTTTTGTTTTGCATCGTTCAACTTTTTAAATACCAAAACATCCCACCAACCAAACCAAACTTATCCTCGATTTTATTATTACGAGTAGTAAATAATTATTTTTGAAATGAACAATTCTTTTTAAATTTTCAGTAAAATTTAAAAACGCATTCACGAGAAGGCAATGCTTATTGCTTGCCGCATTATTGCCTTAAAAGATTGAATTACAAAACGACTAACATGAAAAAATTAAAATTTCGCTCTCGGCTAAAAATTTTAAAAATTATTCGAGCGAGAGTGTACTGTACACAATGTACATCTTACGGTCTTACCTTATTTATTTTAAATATGATTTTTTATTTTATTGTGGGGGGAAATGATTGTAATCAATTACTAGAGATTGAGTGTACTGTAGTGTACTTGATTTTTCAAGCGTACATTTAAAAATCAAAATGAATCTTTAAATTATAAAATAATAAAAAAAATTAATGGAAGAAAATATCTACACCCTTTATGAAAAAAAAAAAAAAAAAAAAAAAACACTTCATATACTATATAGTAGTTTTTAAGGAAGGTATTTTTTTTAACCAAATGTTGACTGTAAGATGGAAAAGAGAAAATTATTCTACATGCCTATCATCGCATCAAGGACGACTGGAACATAGGCATCAAATTTTCGATGATTTCCAGTAAGATCTCGAAAAATGTTTTCTTTTTTAGTATATTAGTTTTTGAAAATTCCAAAAAAAAAACTTTGCAATTTTTTTAATGAGGGGAAAAAAGTAAATTTGCGTTATTATTTGAATGCTTTATGTCCGTCAGGTTTAGTTAAAAACCGCATGCAGCCATGTCAACTTTTTGCTTAGTAGACATAAAAACTTTCTTGCCTAGGTTTTCCTTTTCCATTGTTTTTAAAATTCTGCTCAGCAGGAAATCGAGACGTTATAAACTGAACAATTTTTAACTCACAAGTCTTCATTGCTCACACACAAAATAGTTTTTAACACTTTGCATGTAATTTATTGTTGCAGTAAAAAAACGGATTGGAAAAAACAAAACAAAACAAAAACGAAACTGATGATGATTTAAAACTGAAATCAAAAGTAATACTCAGTTAACAATAGGAATTGAAATTTAAATTCATTTTAAAAAGCTATCTATTTTTTTTTTACGTTGAGTTGTTAATGTTATTCTAAAGACAAGTTCAAAGTTATGTTTGTTGTTTATAGTGAAACAATTTAATTAGCCACTGTTTGACAGCAATTCTTACTAAACAATAAACTACAAACATCATTATCGTGTAGTGGTTTCCGGATTTTACTACAACCGTGAAAAAAAATATAAAGGAACTTTTAAAAGTTCACTCTCAATCAACAGGATATAAAATAAAAAATAAATGAAAATTTGTACAGATAAATGAAATTATTTAATTTATTAATAAATCAACCGATTGAAAAGAAAGTTAAACAATTTTAACCACAACCAGAGTTTGTTTTTTTTTTTTTAAAAAAAAAAAAAAAAAAAAAAAATTCTATTTCCGAAAGAAATTCTTTTTAAACATTTTTTCGGATTTTATCGTTTCCCCTGTCAGCTACAAATGATCAACACGGCACAGTTATGATCAAAGCAATTAAAAATATTTTTGTAAGACAAATCAATCATTTTATATTTTTAGTTAAGCTGAATTTTTTAAAAACACTTCGAGTTTGAGGATTGCCTGAAGAAATCAGAATTATTTTTTCTCTCTTGTCAATAAAATATAAATTTAGTCAATAAAAATTCTTGACTGCAACCATCGAGTAAATGATAATTAACAAAGCGAATATCGTCCTACTTAAAATGTCAAATTTTTTTATAAACCAACACGGACCTGGATTAATGTTAATTTATTGTTAATGTAACAATAATAAATAGATTGTTTCGTCCCCCCCCAACTCCCAGTAAAAGGTGACGTACGGTAGAAGGAACTGTAATGAAAGAAGTTAACTCAAACTGCTACGTCCTTTCTTGAAAAAAAAAAAAGGAGTGAAAAGGAAACGTTTAGATTACAAAAAAAAAAATGAGTTTTACTTTTAAGAATTTTTCTCAGATTACTTTTAAGGTTAGCTGAGTGCAAGGAGAGAGAGAGAAATACAAAAACTAACAAAAAAAAAAAAATGTTTTTTCAAAACTAGCTTAAAAATAAAATCACCCTTATCTCAAAGTTAAATAGTGAGTAGTAAATTCTGTTCAGTTAAACTGTTTTCCAAGTGGAATCAGCAAAGTCAAATGGGAGGAATGTAAAATTAACATTAATTATATTTTTTTATTGTGCAACTACTTACTCAAACGTCAATTTTCCTTAATAACAATTTCCGTTAAATATTTCTACGGCGAAACTACTTGCTGCGAGGGAGAAAATTTAAGGAAAACTCAGGGTTGTTTACATCAGTTTGAACATATCGATAAATACAAACCTGTTGTTTTTCCTTCGGTTGCAGTGTCGGTGTTGCCGGCTGGCGGGGTTGGCAGGTGATTAGTGCCAACAAGAGACACGACAGAGTAAATAAAATAATCCGAGAGGTGACCATTCTTTTTTCAACAGGGTCTTTAATTCAATATCCAAACAACGATGATACTCATAGAACAAACAAAAAACAATAAATGAAAGTATAAAAAAAAGCTTATAAAGTTCGCCTCATAGATGGCTTTAAGGAGTTAGTTAAAAATGTTCACTTAGTATAGTTTTTCTTTGTTTTTCCTTTTAAAAAAAAAAAGGAAAAACCCCACGATCCACACAGACATTTTTCACATGTACATCCATATGCCATTTGGCCATTGCGTTTTTAAGGAAGCGGAAATAAATGCTGGACTATAAAAAGAGAAATAATAGTATTTATTGTCGTCAAAAAGAGAAATAATAATCTGTTTGTAAACTGTAAAGATTAGTTTAAATATACATTTTTTTTTCATCAAAATTATATTTATATTATAATTATTTAAGAAGTACAATTTTTGTGGAGTAAGTAAGAACTATTTTAAGCAATGATTGGATTTTTTTTTTTTTTTTTAAATATATATCTTATCTAATCGTTTTGCGTGTCGTATTGGGTGCGTAATATAGGCGGAAGTCGATATCAGACTTCTCAGAAAGCCAAAACGAGAAAGAAGAGAAACAAAACAAGTCAGCTATTGTTGGGAGGAGTGAAAAGTAGCGAGCTACCATCGCCACTGAATAATACTAATAATAATATCAACGTATCGTCTTCTTCGCTTGACTTAGCGTTTGGATATCGCTAGGTGTCTCTGCGTATTACTACTGATTTGGAATAACAGTATTTTTTTCTAAACACTATATTCTACACTCATTGTTTCTTCCAAAGGAATGATCCATAGGCTACTACAACCACAACCGTTTTTAAAAAGACAGAGGATATATTTTCTAGGTAGGTAGAAAAATTATATAACTCTTTTAGATTAAATTTAATGTTATTACATTTTTGTCAAATTAAAATGTCCTCACTATTTTTTTTTAAACACTTGAAATAAACATTTGGTAGTTTAATATTTGGATGAATTTAAATCAAAGGGAACTCACGCCAGGTGTTTAGTTTAAACGGCAGATTCTTCAAAGAAAATAAACGAAAGTCTCACCTAAACTCATTTGTTTTTCATCAATCACCTACTAGTTACTATTTAGTACCGTAACAAATGAAATCTTTTTCATGTAAGTTTCCACTATTATTTTTTTTTACTTTAGTTTTTTTCTTTAAATTTTATTATCAATTTGTCAAACAGTCAATATCTGTACGTAAGTCTTGAGTTGACAATAAAAAAGATAAAAACTGATTTTTTAAACTTCGAACTAACTATTGAATAGTTCGATAAATCATTTTTAATTTGAAATTATCACATTTCAATTTTTTTTAAATTTCTTGGATTAATACACGTGTTAATTTTAAATCTTTTTTTTTAAAATTCTACTTACATAATTATTTTTTAACTTCTGCTAGTCAATGTCCTACAACTACTGCAATATAAATTTAACTTTTTAAATCATTAAAACTAGAAGCAATGTTTAAACACCGGCGTAGTTGATCGCATCATTGACTGCTGTGATAGCAGGAAAAAGGTATTTAATTTCTCTTTGATATGCACATGCATTTTTTTTTACAATGACAAATATATATATCCCGATTAAATCACTCTTTTAACAAACTGTAAGTAAAGAAAGAATAAAGATTATTGAAAATCAGTGTTTTAGAATTTTGTATTTTATTTCACTACTTGATTATAGTTAAAAGATAAGAACTTCAGGATATAAACTGAACATTTCCACAAATTTTAAGTAAAAAACGTTATAGGTTTTAAACTGAGTTTAAAAAAATAATTTGTTTATTTTTATGTTGTCTTTCATTTCAGAAAGTCAGTAAATGTCGGATATGGAAAATTGTCATCTACTCGGAATATTGAATCGGTTGTTTTGAGAGAATTGGGGTCGCTTGTGAATGTTGTTACCCTTTCCTTTTTAAATTCATTTTTTTAATTTTAGTTTGATATCTATGATTTATTAAATTTGTTTCGTAGTAAGAAAACATTTAACAAAAAACTTTTTTTCTTCTTTAATCAATTTTAATTTAAAAAACAAATGAGGCCTTAATTTCATTATTAATCAAACAAAAATCATTTCACTTCTTAAAGATCGCTTCCCATGATTATTTTTCCGGTTCGTGGAAAACCTTGCCTAAACAATTTTATTTACCTGTTTCAAAGACAAGCAAACAATGCATAAACAAAAGATTAATTTTTCTAAACATAAATTTTTTCTGAACATAAATTTTCAATATTAAATAAGATTTTTTTTTTTTTTTTTTTTTAGAAATAGCAACATCGTCTTTATGTTCAAAGTCAAACATATTTATTTAAAAATAGAGATAGGAATATGAGTCATAGTAAAAAAAAAATTTTAGATTGTTCAACAAATGTCATTCTCACAAAAAAAAAAAAATGAACATTTTTATTTAAGTACTTAGAGTGGAGTAAACGATGTTTTTGTCGGTGATTCTGATGCCATTCTAACAACGCTGTTTTCTTTATGATGGTTTAAAAAAAAAGTTATGTGCACTGAAAACGAGTTTCACACAGTTTTTTTTACTTTATTCATTATGGCTTTTATTTTATAATTTAACGGGAAAATTAACGTCAATTGTTTGACTATTGATACTCATGTTAATTTCGCAACTAACTTGTCGTGAATAACATTTGTTTACGCACATCAATTGTTCAAATTTTTTCCAAACAAAATGTGCTTGCGTTTGCTAACTTAAGAGACCGTGGCTGCTTTTTTTTTTTTTTTTAAATTTTATTTTACAATTTACTGTGATTATTGCCGAGATTGTTGGTTGTTGAGTATTATTGTCAGTATCATGATTTTTCCTTCTGCTAAAAAATAACTTTTTTGTTCTTTATGATGAAGAATTTGAAATTTTAGTGATAAAACTAACTAACATCTGATATTCTTAAAGTTACAATAGCTTTTTTTTTTTTTTTTAACAGCCTTGAACTTTGAAAGGCTTCATCAGCTGACTTTTGTTAATCAGCTGACCACATTAACTTTGGGAATGAACTATCATTCAATCAGGATAAATAAGCTAAGCACTCTATGAAAAGTTTTAAGTATTGTATTCTAAAGTTCTTATTTTTTTTATAAGAATTTACTATTTAGTGCTGAGGTTCTCCTGCCATCGACATTGTTTCTGGTGCTCTTGCGTAAAGAGGCAATAAGTTTTGTTGACAGTGTGACTGATATGTAAAAAAAAATAAGAGGGGGTGGGTAAGGTATTCTTTGAGTCACTTATAAAACAAAATCACTACCAGTACCACTAAAAAATCAGCCAAGTCCTCGCTATTATACGGGTTTCATATCTTATTTTCAATATAGCAACACATCCAGGATTAAAAAAAACAAAACAAAACGCATTTTGACAAGAACTGCAAAAAAATAAATAAGTACTACTTGGAAATGCAGTCATGTGACATTATGACCCCAATTTATCGATTTATTTATTTATTTTTTCATTTTTCATTTATGACCGTTCGACGAATAGCTTCCTTATCGCCAGAGAAGATGCATGCTGTTTTCGATTTTTCAAGAAATTATTTTGTTTAGTTAGAGACCATTGAGAGAAAACACTATTTTATACAGAATCTTCCATCCAAGATAAATTTTTTTTTTTTTTTTTTTTTTTTAAGATTCTGTTTAAAATAGTGTTTTCTCTCAATAAACAAAAATAATTTCTTAAAATCGAAAACAGCAGGTATAAAAATGGGATGAGTAAACAAACTCAGTAAAGGACTCTTTTGGGATTATTACACAATCTGTGTAAGTGTGGCAGGTTTCGTTTATAATTTTTTTTTTTTTTATAGTGTGTGTGGATACAGCCAGTCAGTCACTATGGCTTAGTTTCCAGTGCTTTGAATTTGATTATATCAGGAAATAACTAAAGGCAAGAGTAACACCTGTGGTTGCTACTCCAATGCTTAGCTTACTTTTTTTTTTTTTTTTTTTTTTTGTTAAAGTATGGGGCATCCAGTGAGAATTGAATTCATAGTAGGTAGACAAGCTTGCTAACCGTTTATGCTGAGCTGTCTGACATGTCATTTTTAATTTTAATCATATATCGATTAAATTGCTCATTCGATTTTATTTGACTGTTAAAAAAAAATCTTTTTAAAATGATCAATCGAAAACACTTATTTTTTCCTCACCACCGTTATCATTCCATTGTGTTGTCTCTTCACTGTGTAGCAGAGACTAGAGTAGTTAATTTGGTCAAAGTCTGTATTTTCAAAGAAAATATTTTCTTTATTTTTTATGTGCCTTGAAAGAATGACATTTATTTTGTAATTTTTAAAAGATTTTAGCGGGGTTTGATTTAATGCTAAATTGCGCCCTTATTTTCTGTCCATATTTTTACTTTTTATGAAAATAGCGTTAATCAAAATTTTTAAAGTACGGAAGCCTAAAAGACGAAAAAGATTCCCCCCCCCCAGCAAGTCTGAATTTAATCCGTGGCATTACGAACAACTTTTTAAATAAGAAAGAACTTAATGAAAACTGGGAAAGCTTCAAACACCAATATTTTTGAAAATTTATTTTTACTTTATAATATGGAACACAAAAAATAAAAAAATAAGACTGAAGTGAGATTTCATAAAGGTATCTAATTAAAATAACTTTTTATGAAATTTTATCAGAAGTGTACATAAAATACTAAGTACATTTATTTATTTTACCTTTACTGTGTTATTTGTATTTCCATTCATTTTATTATTAATTTTGATATTTCATTTATGGAAAACTCGGTTGAAATTGAAAAATCAAATTAACTTCTCCACGCGTGTTTCGCATGAACAATTTACAAAAATAAAGGCCGTAACGGGGGAATAACAACACTTAATGTGACGTTTTAGTGTTTTCATGTACGGCCTTCCGTACATTTTAATTACATCCGTTTTATGGACATAAAATAAAAACCATGCAAAATTGGATTTTTAATACACTGGTGGTCCGTTGAGTGTAACAAGCTTTACAATTTATAATTTCCATTAGTGAATTAGTTTCTGAAAGTTTCATTAAAATCTGATTTTTATTTTTGCAAGATTTTCCAAATTCATGTCTGTCATACAAATAAACATTAAAATTTTATGTTATTTAGTAGTTCCACTGATACAAAGAGAAACGGCTTTTTAATCCACTTAATGACCTAAAATGAAGGAAAAAATTTTTAAAAATAATTAAAAAAATACTTTGTTGTTTCCTTTTAATATAAACATTTTACCGATTAAAATTTTGTTTTTTGTCAAGTTTGGCATCTTTTCATCATGCTATGATGCTTTTTTTTTTTTTTTTTTTTTTTTTTTTAAATGATCTCCTCATTGAAGTACCAATGTATAAATGTGCTGAATTTTCTAATTACGGGCGACTATACGTGACATTCAGAAAATAAAAGCTTGCTCTATAGCAAATTTAGAGCCAACATTTCTAAATTTCATTAACGGATTACGGAGAATATTTTCCTAAATTTTTAAGATTACTGAGTACTTAAAAATTATAAAAGGTGTTTGTGCCGTTTTCTTCAATTATGAAGATAGAATATTAGACCTGACAAGATAAAAGAATGCATTTCTGCAATATTTTAAACTTCTGATTTGTTTCAAATCAGATTAATTATACCTTAAATCAGCTAATGTTCCTAAAAGTTTCAGAAAAGTATTTCATTTTTGAAAGATCTTTTATTAAAGAGAATTACATTGTGATGAAAACTTAAATTGGGGGGTGCTAAAATCATATATTTCAGGAAAAAAAAAACTGTCAATTTAATTTAAAATCAAATATTTTCTTATTGAAATAAAAAAAATCTGATAATATTTAATATGGTAAAGT